CCTGGGGCCTGGTGCAAGTTGGGGGGGTAGATAAGCTGGCTGTGCCGGTTCGTTTGGCGCCGGATTTAGGTCCCTGGGAGCGCTAGTTGTTACGTTCCCTTCTGATGGTTGATGATGATGCAAGTTCTATAGTATTATAGCGGCCGAGCTAATTACTATTAACACCGGTATAGAACTAGCGGTAGAGCAAAACCTTGAAGACGATAACCTAAATCTAACGTCCTACACAATCTACAGCGATTTTAAGGCAGCCCTATAAGCACTAGCGAACCTACGCAAGCGGCGATCAGGCCAAGGAATAGTCCGATCTATTATAGAAACAGCCCGGTATATTAGATAACTATTAGATTAGTTTCTCTCTTCAATGGGTTCCAAGCCACAGTGGGATTAAAGGGAACGAAGAAGCAGATAAACTAGCCAAAGCTGCGACTACACGCCTTAGAGAACACAGCTTTAAGCCGCTGATATCACTTCAGTTCCAAGCAGTCAAGGACGCAATATATGCAACCTGGGCAGCCGAATGGGAGAAATCGGACAAAGGACAACACCTTCGAAGCATTGATGCAGCACCGCCAGGCCCTCATACCCGGCACCTATACGATAAGCTCCCACGGAGCCAGGCTGGCCTCCTTGCCCAGCTGCGAACCGGCCATTGCTGGCTTAACCAACACCGCACGAGAATAGGCCGGATCAATAATGAACAATGCGAATGCGGAGAAGTCGAATCAGTTCCCCACGTTCTCCTCCAGTGCTCCCTGCTCCAGGAAAGCCGACAGAGGATGCTCCAAGATAGTGGACTAAAAAAGAATAGCCTATCAGCCTTACTCGGTGGGAAGCCACCAAGCAATGCCGCAGCTACCCAGAGCAAAGACGACAATTGGAGATTAACAGCATCACAGCTTCAGGCCGTGCTAAGCTTTGCACAAGACTCACAACGGTTTAAGAATAGAGACAATCCTACAGCATAGAACCTCTATACCACTATCCCCTCCTACCCTACTACCCGCTCCTTTTACCTTCCCTTTTCCTCCCAGATTGACAAATCACATGTAAACTAGTAGCAAAACTCTTTGAATAGTCGTAGCCTGCATATCGCTCAGGGCGATGGGTCAGGGTAAATGAATACAACTCAACTCAACTCAACTCAATCAAGGTAAACCCTTCGAACCTATTCACCCGCTAGGCAATTCCAACGCCTAGACTGAAGAGGCCTCGTTACACACAATTAACAAATAACAAATAAGACAAACCATCAGAAACATGAACAAACAACAATTAGCAAACAACAAACAAAGACAAACCGTCAGCTAGCGCTTGCTGGTAAGAACTACAAGGAACGCGCTAGAAACCCGTAACAATTACCGTACTCGCCGTCCTGCGCGTTAACGTCGGCACCCTTGTCGAGCAGCATCTGAACGATCTTCTCGTGGCCCCCGAAAGAAGC